ACTACTGCTCATATTTCTGTATTTAAAGCCTATGGGAGTCCCGACACCCCGTAGTGTTTCTCAGATTTTCTTTCACGTGCAGATGTTTGTTCTGGGACCACGCCTCATCCTTAGCGTTCGACAATATCATGCTGAACTGGTGGCCAACTTCGACGATGAAATTAGTATGAATTCGATTATCCTCCAGGAACGTGTACATATACAAACTAGCAGTACTATGTAGGGAAATGCTTACCGGGTGTTCTGCAGGAGGAGAAATCTGGCCGAGGATCCGTTGTGGTATTTGCTTAAGCTATGGTGTTTCAAAGTACATTTGAGATAGGTTTGTGTAGACGAACCCATTTCTTGTCGGTACTGGAAGTCAGTGAACCGCTCGCCCACACTTGCACCAAGTAGTAGTCATATCACCCCGAGTACTTGAGTGGGTGACATGTCTGATTGTGAAATCAGTTACTTTTGAAATCCAGTAAATCATTTATCGTGGTATAGCCACGAGTGGCAGCTCTGATAGCTTCAAGGACATCAAGGAGATGCAGTACTAGGTGCTTATGCAGCTGCAGGATGGAAGTGATGGACGCAGTGGCCACCGACTGGGAGCTGGGCCACAGTTATTCGTGCTTACATTGCAAAGATACGGTAAACATATATTATACTTTGTTTCATGTAGGAATGATATACCAGCATTGATATGGAACGGTATCATTTTTTGAGATACTTGCGAGAGCACTGCTTTTTGTGTACATCTTTCCAGTGTACCTTGATAGCACATTCGTCAGCAACAAGACCTGCAAAATGTCTCAATCATACCTTCTGGTGCTCAGCAGAACAATATCTAGACGACATCCTGTTTAGCATCATATCACCCCAGTTTGTTCAGAAATGCTCACAAAATGGCCCTGCAACCACTGCACGTCTTAAGATCCTGGCCACCAGGCTTTCCACAAGCAGCACAAGCCGACTGACTTCTTTTATCCTTCGTGCTGGACGTTGTCTCCTGCCAATATCCATGGCTCTCGTGGTCCCATTCGCGCTGAATGCTCTGACCTTTCTTGAGTTTGCCCGTCCTGGAATCATGTGCGCTGGGGTTGATAGGCATGGTGAATGCCTTCATGCCCGCCCTGACTGAGTTGGGCGAACTCAGTGCTGCGGAGAGTCGCTCGTTAGCCTGGTCGACGTCAAAGGCGTCAACGTCGAACAGAGAGAGGAGGTTTGCTGAAGCCTTTGTAATTTGGGCAATCAAGAATTTCTCGTCTTTTCTTAACCCTGGAGAGATGTTCAGCACTGAAATTGAATCAAAGGGAAACCCTAGTACTGCTCGGTGTACGAATCAGTGTCGTAGGCCTTGAGAAAGTTTTGGTATTGGTACGACCCTCTCATATTTTCTGGATGATAGTTTGACAAGTGGAATATTGTGTACATTAGAAAAGTAGCTCACCACCTGGGCACATGCCCTTGCCATCGAGTATCTGAACACGTCCATACGACTCCTCGACGGGAAAAACTTTCTCGATCTGATCGACGTAAAATCAGTCCAATATCAGGCAAGGTATTCGACCGTACCTCGATTTCGTGGTGCCACTTGTCCCCATAGTCATACAAGTACGCAAACGTATCGCCCACTTTTGAAAACAAGTGGGCGAGCATATACCTAAGTGTCTTCAGAATCAATGTGACACGGGAGATTATGCTCTTACTTGTCATCCGGAAGGTAAACATATCCAACCTAGGGTCGAGATGTCAGACGCTCCAAACATATTCCCTAGGTTTACGTGCCTGGTTGATATGCATTATGTCTGTTGCGTTGGCGTCCTATGTATGTAATTAGAGATGGACTATGACGTAAAAGTGGCTCAGTTTACCTCAGGACCAAATACAGCGCCGTCTCTGAGATCCGTGAACGTGTAGCAGTGGAGGTTTCGTACCCTACACACAAAACAATGGCCTCAGTGTGTAAATAGAATCGGGACATCAAATGAGTACCAGTTCAGAATGGGCGAAAGGACCTTATCCTGGAATACGCCTATCTTCATACCAGCTGAGAGGCGCACCCGGCGCCATATGCGAGGGTCGCCATTGGCATCTTGCAAGAACCTTTGAAGAACATGTCAAGAGGGTGCGGCATCATTTATACAAGTAACATACTTCAAGTGTATCTTGATCACAATATCTTTCTTGTCAAGGTCTGCGAGATCAAGTTTGCTGAGCTGGTCGCGCTGCGAAGACAATAACAAGTCAGGAAAAGAACGGAATTACCTCAAAGCGCACCCACCTTACGATCCTTTAGAACATCCATGAATTGATTTTCAGGCCAGGGTGTTCCACCGCGGTTGTCGTAGGAGAATTGGTGGGCCATCTAAAGCCAAATAAACGAGACGATCAAACCATCTCTATGAACTTACTGTTCTATACATCATTTGGATTCCATCGACTAGTTTGAAGAGTCAGGATATACAATCTACTAGACTCAGATATTTGCTTACAGTCCCAGATATTATCTTCGTTGTACTGTACACGTCAATTAACTGATTCGGAAGGATTGGTAGGCGACATACCGGAAATATACCCCAAGTCTGAATCTGTCCATGGGGACCCGGTTTTGGCTTGAATGTACGAGGATCTTGAAAGAGTAGGACATCTAGGACTCGTCCTCAAAAGAGTCGAACCACTTACCCTCAAAAAAAGTCTCTGGCATGCCTTCGCCATTATCTCCAGAGAGAAACTTCACAAATTTGGGTTTTCGTGTGGGGCGCGTCGTAGAGCGAGGAGGAATATCCTCACCGGTCAACGAAAGTGTTGAAAAGAGTTTTGTAAAATCCATGGTTGCTGCTCAACAGACATAGTAGCATGTGCAAGGTTGATAGCGGAATACATAACGCCCCAAAAAGGCATATCACTTACGCCGCATCGGAGACGCACAAACTTTAAACTACCTTCTTGAATCTTGACCCAAGGTGACCGCCCTCTGGGCCAGTCTTCCATGACACATATAATGCACAACCTGTGCATAAATTTGATCTCAACTCACGATATTCTAGGGTTAAACATCATCGATTCATCTGTCGAGTGACGTGGTCACGAATTCTTGATAAATGTATTATGATTCACACTAATTTAATGCGGGGAAACATGAATTGTGCAAACAAACAAACAAAGGACAAAGTTCAACAAATAGCACTACCAGATAAAAGGACTGCAGCTAGCCCGTCTTTCATCAGTGCACCACCCTTGCATCTCCCATTATCAGTACTACTTCTACACGTTCAAGATGTCTAGCAACGGAAAAGATTACACGTACACTGGTCATGGTACCAACGACCAAGTAAGCGCCCGTTTTGCGAGTTAGGGGTGGTGATTAACAAACACTTTTCGTAGGGCAATCACTACTGCTCACGCGACTACGGTAGCAGCGGTACTGGATACCACTATTCTAACAAGTAAGTTCTCATCATGAATAATTCTTGATTGGTGGTACTGATTATATTGACAGCGACGGGAGTTATTACTACAACAACCCGAATGGGTCCACTTACTACAACAGTGGCACAGGGTACTCGCAGTACACTACTCCCAGCGGACAGACTCATAAATCCAACGGTTCCTCGAAGTGATTCTAGGTAATTTGCCTATTTTAATAGTATAACATTAGCTTCTGACGTGGTTTATCAGGTGTCGCAAATTTCCGAAATCGATTGTAATCAGGAACCGTTGGTATCACGTTACAATTGGATTACAATGATGCTATCAACCTTCATGTATCATTATAGCGGAGTTTCAATCGATTACAATGCGGTTACAAACGTTATGGATATCCTACAGCTGCCTTCGACCACATTCTCAACAGTTTCCCTCCCCTTGCCCATACTTATATATTACCCGTCTATCCAGGACATGGCCCCTCGAACGCACAAAATTCTGCGATCATGTGCAAACAAGACCTCAAACCACGTGGGTGGTCCACTCATTGCAAGGCCTGTGAGAAGAAGGCGGAGAAACAGCGTCAGAATCAGCTTGTTTGCGGAATCCATTCGAAGGGAAGATTTAGAGGCAGAAGCAGGTATGTCCCAAGTTCATTCATTTGTCTATCAGTTCTAGTTTTTGTATTTAAACTGACTCATAGGCCCTTCAAATTTAACGAGACAATCAATCATCACCGCGCAAGTGTCAACAATTCAGAGCGTGCCAATGAATTTATGGGAAACGAGATGGATGATGGCATGGGGTATATTGACGGTAAGTCAGAATCTTAATTACATTCGTTATGTATTATAATTCATGACTCCACTGTTCACAGATCACTTTGCTGATGCCGATGTCTCTGACGTGCAAGCAACTCCCAGATTCCGGGTTGACGACATAGGTGTGAGTATCATCCAAGCAGTGGGATCCCACCTGAGGTCCACGCTTTTTGAGGACTTCAAAGGGATGTCCAACCCCACTGGCATCTATCCCCCCTAACCAGCACCCCTGGGCACCATTCAAGTCGCGACTAGAGTTTGAACTTGCTGAACTTGCCCTGGAGGCTTGTTTGAACAACGAGCAGACTGATCAGCTCATACGACTTTGCAACCGGTGCACTTCCCGACAGGAGAAGTTCACATTCCGGACCCACAAGGACATTCACGACAGGTGGGAGACTGCTTCCCATCGCCTTACGGGGGTTATTTCTTTATTTCTCTGATCTTTAGCTTCTGACGACTCTCAAGTTTAGTTTACTCAAGACATGATTTCAGTACCGTATGACGGTACCAATACGAGAGTTTGATCTACACTATCGCAATCTCTGGGAGTGGGCTACTGATCTCCTTCGTGATCCTCAGCTCTTTCCGCACATGGTATTTGATGCGCAGCGCTTCTCAAAGTTTGATGGCGAGACATTTGTAAACTTTGTAGATGAACCTTACACGGCTGAAGCTTTTTGGAATGTTCAAGTATGTAATACTGCTGTAGTGATTTCTTGTATTCATGAATTGATCTATTCTTTTGCCTCATAGTCTCAGCTACCAGAGGGCGCCAAACCTCTGGCGTTTATTCTGTATGCGGACAAGACGAAGTTGTCCTCATTTGGTACCGCAAGAGGTTACCCCGTTGTTGCACGTCTTGCGAACCTTCCCACCGACATTCGCCAATGGTCAAGGTATGGGTGGCTGGCTACGTTGTTGGGTGGCTTCCTATTGTATGGAGTATTTTATTAGTTAGCGGTTAGCACTGATCGTAGTTCTAGGTGAAGGAGGAGAAGGATCACGCTGGCAAGCCAAGCTGGGTCAATTTCAAGAACGCTGTTTGGCACGAGGCGTTCTTGAAGATTCTCTCTCCGCTAGCATCAAAATCTAGTACAGGTCAATGGTTTGAATGTCTCGACAGCATCCAACGCTGGTTCTTTCCTTCGATATTAATCTTGTCGGCCGATTACAAGGAACAGTCAGTGCGTTCGTTTATCTGTACATATGAATAATTGACTACTTGTCAATGTATTAGATGTGTTATGTCGCTCACTCGAGGGATCAAGTCCCTGTGGCCATGCCCAGTTTGTCTCGTTCCCCCATGACGACCTTTTGGATACTTTGAAGGCCTATCCTCGTCGAACATCCGATCAGTCACAGAACGTCTTGCAGGTTGCGCGGGGCAAGCAGACCGCTGAAGAGAGAGATGATATGCTCAAACAATATGGACTTCGTGATGTCCAGGTAAGATTCTGTTATCTATAGTACCAGCGGTGTTTGTATTACTAACCCAACCATGTTAGAACGCTTTTTGGATCGTTGCGCTTACTTGTGTACATTACGCACTCTCGTGGGATAGGCTCCATTTCAATGGTGGCCTGTACCGCGATCATTTGTGGGCCGAACTGCAGAGAATAATCATTAGTCTTGGGAGAGCAAGTGTAGCGCAGATGGACCACAAGTAAGTCTATAGCTTGCAATTTAGGACTTTTTTGATTTCGTGTTACTAGCTACGAGGCGTTTCCACCGGTGGCGCAATCTCAAACATCTATCGCAAGTCATGAGCATTTCCTTTGCGGCATAGTAGCGTGTATGAAGACATTTTGAAGGTATGTTTTCGTAGGTTCTTATTGATGAGTCGAGTCTGATGGTTGTTCTCTTAGATGGTGATCTATGCTGCACATACCATTGTGACTGAGGACGGGTGTCCAATCGGCTACCTCTTACTTCGTTGTATTCGACTCTTTCTTGAAGTCGATTTATATGCAGCACTCGAGGTTCACACAGCTGATACTATCCATGCAGGCCGACACGCAGTTCAAGCGTTCTCAACCTATCTCCAGGTGTGTTTTCTCGACTTCCCTCGAAATTGTTCGTCAATGAATCTTATTATAATAGCAATATATAACTAAAACAGCCGACACGAGCGACAAGAACTGGAACTTCCCCAAATTGCACATGAGTGTGCATATCTTTGACAACATCGAAGCTAAAGGAGCTACACGTAACTACAACACGAAGCCAAACGAGAAGATGCACGGGTCGCTGAAAGATTCGTATCAAATGCGCACCAACTTCAGGAATGTGGCGCCGCAGGTAACAGATTTTATTCTCAATATCATTGACTTGTTGATCTTAGACTACTGCTACAATATTTACAGATTCTTCGCATCAATCATTGGCAAGTGGTCGCCGAGAGCATTTGCCGGAACATATCCGACTTCGATGAGTATCAGTCATGCGATGTCGACAATGTGCTGGACAAAGACAATTCCGTGGTGGATGATTTGGTCGTCTCGAACGACTCGCCTCATGTAAAGCTTGGATCCAGACAAGCTCCACAGACTTTTGAATCTGTCGAGAACACTCACAGACATGACAGCGCATTTACTAACTTTCGTATCAGGCTCAATGATTTCTTAACTAACTTTTTACCAGCCATTCAAGTCCCTCTACCAGGTGGAAAGCGGGTCCAGCTCAAAGCAAATGGCAAGGTACGATGATCATTGTCCAGTTTGGCTGCGTTCTGTTATACTGACGTGAAGGGATAGATTACCGGGTGCCGTTTCTTAAAGGTTAACTATGAGTCATTGGTAGATTGGCGCCAACATACCGATTTCCTTCGTTGTAATCCCAAGTTCTTTGGTACTCCGCGCTTCGACTGTGTGTTCGTCCAGACAACCGACAAGATCATCTTTGGTCGCCTGCTCTTTGTTTTTGAATGTACACTGGAAGATACAGCCCTCTCCCTTGCCCTTATTCACCCATTTGATGCTCCCACTGGTGTTCGCATCCGAAAAGACAAGCATCTCTCCATCTTTCGTGTGCGAGCAAGACCCCGGGCGCAGGCTGAATTTTTTTCAGTAAGGTCGATCATCCGCGGAGCTTTCCTAGTGCCGGATGGTAGCAATGATTACATTGTTGTCGATACTGTTGACACCGACATGTTCCTTCGTGTGAAGGCGCTGCATCTTGAGGCAGGGCACCTTGTACGTGTTTGATGCCACACATAGTCTTCCTCCCCTTACAGATGGTATGCCTGCTTACTAGTATCTTCACTCGTTGGTCTCACTGACTGTCTGCTTTTGCCTCTCGTGAATACCAGGCAATGTCATCACCGCCTCTAGACATACATTCCGCATACTCTGCCTCATGATATACCTCATTTTCCTCGGCACCGACTTCACTCTGTTCAATGCATCAACGCCTTCAAGACTTTCTCGCCATTCATGATCAAGCTCTCTTCCAAGAACCCCCAAGATCACCTAGCACTCATCAGCGCTGGAATCAACAACTCGATCATGGCCCAACCCCATCTTAATCACCAGCTATCTCCATCACCATACGCATCCTCCCAACTCCATCTCTGTCACTGACCATCTCCTAGACGCATCCTCCCAACCCCATCTCAGTCGCCACTAGACACGTCCTCCCAATTCCATGTCACCGGCCATCACCATCACTAGATGCATCCTCCCAACCCCATCTTAGTCGCCACCAGATCGTCCCTGGGGGATCCTGAACTACCTTGAGGGTCAAAGGTCGCGAAGCGTCCATCCTGGGGGATCCTGAACTACCTCGAGGGTCGAAGGTCGTGAAGCGTCCATCCTGGGGGATTCCTAACTACCTCAAGGGTCTGAATCAGCAATCAGACTATCAGCCGGTTTGTGACGAGCCCTTTTGATGCACGTGTATTAAGGTTCACTCTTTAAAGTTTCATCTTGCGAGGGCACCCTCTAGTCGTGCGCTCGTTTACGTGCCTCACATCAGTTTGCCGCTATCAATCACAATGCCGAGCCACCATAGTCATTCCCAAAGACGTAAGAAGATGTGGGTAGGCAACGTGTCGAATTGTATATAAGGTGCATCACACCATTTCTTCCTTCGCTGTCTTGCCACTGAACATCTTGTAGGACAATGTCTCATCTCTCAGTGCACATATCGGACAGCAACTCCGATGACGACTTCGATGAGGGCAACATCGAGCAAATCTCCATCCCAGGGCCCAACACCTCCAAGGGAGATTTCATGGATGTACGTACTAGCTACAACTTATTATCTTAACTATATTCAACTTGATATCGTGCTCCAGGCAGTCAAAGCATTGCAGCTCGAAGTTCAGCGTCTGTGCGAAGAAAATCGTGCTCTCAAGGAGAAGAACAAAGTTCTACTTGCCGAGAAGCCCAAACGTAAGCGGCGCGTTGAAGCACCTGATGAACTCGTTGCTCACGAACAGACCATCTCACTGTATGCTCGTAAATACAGCATGACAGTGGAGATGTTTCCGGACAATGAACTTCTCACCAAGAAGCTGCCGGATTTGCCTACACCATTCGATAGCCATGACCGTTACAAGACTGCTGCAACTCAGGAAACGGCCTTCTTAGACGAACTTTACAAGCATTTCCCAGAACGCGTCCATCGAGCCATACAGAGTGTGTACTTCAAAGACCTCGTACGTCACATATTTTGTTTTGTTCTAACTATCATCTGATGTATTCTTTAACTATGGTAGGTACATAAGTGCATCAGCGATGCTCGTTCAAACGAGATCAAAAAATTACGTGGCGTTGCTGGAGATATTTTTGACCTTCCTGCGAAGTACTTTGCCAATCCTAGTTTCGACAGAGCCGGCAGTTGTCGAAATTCAAAAGATGCTTGGAGTGTCTGGCAAGACGCAGGCTTATAAAATCTTTCCGCCTCTTTTGTTCCCAGGTCTGCAAGAAGACACCACCCTCAAGACTGTTTTCGGCAACTGGATACTTTTCGCCAAGGTGCGCTATCATTCACTGCTCGTATATTTGTATCATGTATGCTACTTACTATGACAATGGTCTATCTACTAGATTCTGAGAGCATCACTGCATGGCGTCACCTCGCTTCATCAAGAGCCTTGTGGCAGATCAAAGACTAATGCTCGGAAGTGGAACTTTCAACAAGTCACTCCAGGATCTATCGCATGGGCGGCAGTTATCGTACGTCGTGTATATTGCATCAAATATATCTACTGATGTTTGAATGCAGGCAATATTTCTGCTCTCACCCGACTCCGAATTTCCCGGTTCGGGAGTGGGGAAATCATCGACCATCAGTTACAAAGACCTGTTCTTTCAATATAAGAAGATGCTCATTACAAAGTGGGACACCAGGCGCATCAAGAATATTATGGTCAGTATCAACAACCACATTTTTGGCACCGCAAAGTTGTCCACCCTCAATCCCGCTGGTGGCGAAGACTTTTCGGATGAAATCAATCGCGCTATGCTCGCACTCGACATGTCATCAGACAGTGAAGCAGATGAGGTTCCACCAGCATCAGTAGCGCTACATGAAGGTCCAGGCCCAGGTCTCAATGCAGGTCTCGTCAACCGACCTGCAGAAGAAGCATCTGAATCAGCATCTCGAGCTGCTGCTCATACTAATGTTGAAGCAGACGAAGCTGATGTAGATGAAGCTGATGGTCAGATAATAGGCAGGGGCCGAGGGAAGGGAAAGACTAGGGGGAAAAGGGCAGTAGCAACTCATAGCAATATTCGTCGTGGTCGTTCTCAAAAAGTCTCATAGAAATTGTTACAGTTAGTGATCCACCGTCTAGTGTAGTGCATTGCATTTGAATTTGAACGCGAAAATGTCGTTACAATCGAGTTCAATCGACAATGCTTACATAACAACGAGATTACAAAATTTTCCAGAGACTTTAATTCTACAGCAACCACATTACAACTGTTCTGATACTCAACACCGCTACAGCAGCTCTCACCACCATCCGCTATTAGTAGATGATAACTTTTCCTTGGACCCTCTGCCTTTAATGAAACCAAGACCCCCGGGATGATCTCATGATTGAAGGTCGCGTCATTCTCCAAGGACGAGGACACGAAGTTAGCGACGAAGACCTCCTGGACCAGCAGCAAAAATTGACTCAACGGTAAGCAGCATATCCATCCTAGAAACAAAGATATTAAACGAAGACCCTGATGATCTCGTAGATGAAGGTCGCGTCGTTCTCCAAGGACGAGGACACGAAGTTAGCGACGAAGACCTCCAGCAGCAAAAATCATCAACTATTATAATAAACCACAGTAAGCAGCATACCCACCCTAGAAACAAAGATATTAAATGAAGACCTTGATGATCTCGTAGATCAAGGTCGTGTCGTTCTCCAAGGACGAGGACACGAAGTTAGCGATGAAGACCTCTGGCAGCAAAAATCGACTAGACGACAGTAAGTCATTCTTACCGCAGCATATCCACCCTAGAAACAAAGATATTAATTGAAGACCCCAATGATCTCATAGATGAAGGTCGCGTCGTTCTCCAAGGACACGAAGATGGCCACTCACTCATACTCAAACAGTTCCGTCTTACCAGAGAGGCATTTGACCGCCGGGTGATCAGTAAGTGGTCCGTTCAATTTCGAGCCAGCTCATCGCTCACATTCCACATGCACATCCATGCCACCATGGCCGCTCGCTCATACTCAAACAGTTCCATCTTACCAGACATCGGCCATCGGGTCATTGCCTGAGTGGAGTTGAAGCCAACGGGAGAGATGTGCGGCTGACTCGCACTCAGTCTAATACTGGTGAATGATTTCATTGATGTGGAATGGGAACCCTACCGCTAACTACAAACTATATCCTCCAGAACCCTACCTTCATCCAACCGCACCCTCCAGCGCTACTCGAACTCAAACCATGTCCTCCCAGCAATCAAAATCCATCGAGTCGGAGTTCCTTTCCCCCCATGTTTCTGCCAAATGAGTTCCAACTATGACAACCACCACCACCGCATCGTCATCCACACCAATGAGATTATCTGTGGAGATGGATATATGGAGGAGCATAGGGATGTATTACGACGGAATGCGCACCCCGCAGATGAGCCACCAGTACCATACCAATATTAAAATATAAATAATGTATTAAAATTGACAAATAAACATTACAATCTGACTTGCAAGCCGCTGTTTGACATTGCAATTGCCTGTTACAACTCCCAGCCAAATAGCTCATTACAATGACTAAGACGGATTGCCACGCATTGTGACAGCGGTTGCCATCTCAATTGCAACCGTCATTCCAATTTGATTACAATTGTGACTCTGCTATTGTAAGCGCTTTCAATTTATGTTTGGTCTTTGAACGTTGAAATGCCATAAAAGGCACTGAAGTTTAAATTAAGAATTTGCGACAGACTTGATTCGCTATATTATGCCATTTGCTGTATTTATTAGTTGTTTTCATCCCCTCACTCTGCTTATTTCTGTATGATACTTCGTTGTTCTGTACTGTACTGGTGCTATACACTGTCGCGGTGAATGAATCTGATTTACTCCTTTTTTCTTTTGAATCCTAATTTATCGTCCGTTGGGGCGAAGCCCTCTATGTTGGACACTATCTACACTATTCTACTGATGCAGCTAATTCTAATAAGACACTGTGGAAAGGAAAGCCTGTGAATTTAAGTAGGAGAAAACGTTGAAAGTCAATAGAGAGAGCCACTGAAACCAATGAGGTAGCGCAATGAATCGACGGCCATTGAATCCCCCGAAAAGACAATGGACATCAGTGGTTGAATCACTGATCGTTGTCGACATGGCCACTGAATTCAATGCTGTAAATCACTGACTTTCGATGGTGCGGCCACTGATTATTGTTCCATAGTCGACTCGGAATTATACAGTAGTCCATTCAAGTTACGTCTGGCGTCATTAAAGTCCAAGTTCGAGCCTGCGTATTTAGTAGTGGTTTGTTCCAGCTGTTTCAACACGTTTAACGTTTGCACACGACAAGACCGGTGTATGGAGTGAAACAATATTTGGTTCTTCCTGGCACTTCATGATTCGACATAAATAAGTATGACTGTAAGTACCTGTAGCGGAGAGTGAGTTGCATGACAAATACGAAGACTAAGTGTTCGTCTTCACCTTCTTTCATATCGACGTTATCATTATCGTCCTCTGAGCTTGTGCTTCAGGGTCAAACAGAGACAGATTCCTGTGTTAGAGTCACTTTCCGCAAGCTGAAAGCTGAAATTGCGTGCGCCTCGGCATCAGTGTCAGAGAGAAGGTACACTTTGATGCTCCCTATGTAGTTGAATGGTGTAGCACGCTCTGGATCGAGTGAAAACGTAGCATTGAATCTCAAGGAACGGTTTCATCGTATGATGATGTGGTAAGGTCCGGCGCAGAGATGCCGTGAGGGAAAGTGTCCATCAGCTACATGATTTCAAGTTATAATCCACCGAAATTACAATTGCTTGAAGGTCCAATCGAAAGTGTTTCCGCTAAAAGTTGTCCCAGACTCGTATGGATGGTATAAGAAGAACCAACTAGCATGCAGTAGATAGCATGAAAATCGTATGTCTCGTTCAACGGCATGGCTGATTGTGTGCACCGTGAATGCATCGCCAGCCTGACATGGATCTACTTCTTTATTTAAAAAAGAGAAATCAGAACGCTTCCTTTAAAAAGTAAGGCGAGTACCTCTCACGAGAAGGGTACCAGAGACCCAGCAACGGAACCAGCATAAACGCAGTCCATCTTCACATCCGGCAGCGGGTGATCGCTTGTCCCTTTTCAAAAGTGTCAATATAGTATCACAATGAGTATGCAAGTACCCTACCAGCATGGCAGTACGGAATTCCATCCTCCTTGTGTCCCCACCACATCACAGGGGACCACTCATCCACGAGGTTGGCGAGCGTCTGGAGGTGGCCATATGCAGCTGGCTGGGGACCGTGCGGTCGGCGTAGTGCAATGAAGGTGAATAAACAGGCAAATATAAACAGCGCAATGCATAAGTTCCAGATCTGCGAGAATGTGTGAGAATGTTGTAACAATTGTACATGGGCAGTGCAAACCTGGGCAGTGAACATAGACATCACCAGAGCGTTTATATTCTCGTCAAAGGCTGTCAAAGCTAAGGAGAATGAAAGCCCAAACATCCAGTCTGTGGTCATAGAGGATAGTGTTCAATAACGCTGACAACAAAATACTAGCCGTGAATGACTCACGCAGGAAAGGCTTCGCGATGAAAAGTATGAGACACATCGGATGAATGAAAATCGGCTTCAACGGGTTCGTCGCCACACTAAGTCCTTTCCTTTTGGTAGCGCATCTCCACTGTCTCTCGTCTCGAATGACATTCGCGATGAGCTCTGAACAATGCAGCCCAAGCGTCAATGGTCCCTGGACTACTGCAGTGAAGACAAAGACCACAATCCATGCCTCAAGATTGACACCTGGCAGATCATATATGACGTAATTGCCCATAAAATTCTGGAGAAACGACCACGTTTGGAGTGTAAGCGGAAAGGTGGGAACAACTTGAGCGAGGTGGAAGTGGTGCCAGAAATACATGACGAGTACAGCCCATCCAGCGCACGCTGCAACGATCACCCAAAGAGAAATGACAACTTTACGGATGCTAGGGTGAGCATGCCACGCAGAGGGCTGTGTCTCTGGTGGCTTCGCTGGACCTCCATACATGTCTACGTCAGACACAGGACGCATGCACCGGAAAGTAGCAGGGGTCAATTGCGTGTGGTGGACGAGTGCAGCAGTCAAGTCGAAAGGTGAAGAACTCCACGTCAATATTTTGACAGCCCGTATCGCTGACAATGCGATCATCACCTGGAGGAGTAGTGCGACGCCCAAAATGAGGAGAGGAAACCCTGCGATACTAATACTGTCAGAACTTCCACCTGCTGGGGTCATCCAAATGTCCTGACATACAACAAGTGAGGCCGCGCTGTAGGATATAATGAGGAGGACAGCCGAGATACCGTTAAGGAAGGCGCTATTAGGGTTATACCATCCACGGGCTGCGGTCAGAAGGCGCAGATTGGTGTTGAAACGAAGCCGAGACTCTGAGGCTAGCGCAGAGCGCAATGAGATGCCGTGTACGAAGCCTATGGACTCGGTACATAACGTGACAAATAAGTCAAGTATCAGGGTCAATATCTCCCCGCGCAGCGGTAGTACTTGACTGAGCCCCAGACCTATGGCCATCACATCATGATACTCGAATATGTTGAGCGGGGTTACTCCCGAGATTCCGTGATTGGCTACAGTGACAATCCCTGCAATAATGCATAAGCAGCTGAAGATACTTGAACATGCCAGCCCGACAAGAGCATATCTGCGACTTGTCAGACTGCGATCGTAGAAATCGGTTCTAGCATCAGCAGTGGACTTCGCATCAGATATTGTCGCGTCAAAGTCTTGGTGACCCGGGAGTGCGTTATATACAAGAAGGCTGGATGGATTCCAATTTTCTTCTGTCGGTTTGGAAGAAGCTGCCATCATTATGGGAGGCAGAGACAGGAAGGCCAGCGCATTATTGACACGCAGATTAAATCTATTTCATTTATGACCATAGCTTCTGGTGCATGTGGCTTCGTGATAGAAGAGCATTCGTGCACCACAGTATTCACATGAATCCTGTGTAGCGCTGATTTACGTCGCATTGCAGTGCATACTGAAAGTGCACGTGTCAGGATGGTGATCACTGAAAACCAGTCAAGGCTAACCACCTTGTATTAATGTACTGTACACATATCCGTGCACAGAGTGGCTGCTGTCCGTTAACCAAGAGAAGCAACAAGCAAGCTTAAGCAAGGATCATCGAGGCCAGTCACTGCTGGCGTCTGATAGAATTCTGATTGCTGAGTTGCAATCGAGGCGTTGAATAAGGGTGAGAAGATGCGGTGTCAACTGAATGACCGTTACAGTGCCGCTACTTGAACGTTCGAACTACAATTGAAGCGCCCATATAACACACGCTCGAAGCTATTCATAATCGATGGGTCACCTGTCTAATGGTACCAGCTACATGAGTTGTAGCATTGAATTTTTCACACCTCAACACTACTGAGGCCGTTATCGCCTGTTAATCGTCTGGTTATTCAAGCAACATCACACCGATAATATAGCACATCATGGATCATGGATTGCAAGGAGTGCATGTCGTTGTTACAGGTCGTATTCTACGGTATCCTATCGCACTACTCACCTGACAGTACTCGAGCAGGGGCAAGTGGTGGCATCGGGCTAGAGACTGTGAAATTGTTTTGTGGTGAGCAATTTACTCTCGAGTGACGACTACTGAGTTGAAACAGACTCGGACATCCAGCATTGGGGGCGAACGTAACCGCACATTACAACTCCCAATTTGGTCCAATCCAGGAGCTTCTGGCATCGAACGCCAATCTTCAACATGTCCAGGCGAATCTATCTCAAGAGGATGCCGTGGTGGCTATGTTTGAGTCGCTATCTACTATGCCTCATGGCCCCGTACAAGTGGTGATCGTCAACCACGCTATATATCCCACTGCAGATGTCCCAATCGCAAAGATGACGCTGGACCAATGGAATACCACCATGACTGCGAACTTGACGTCATCATTCCTGGTGTGTAGAGAGTATCTGAAGCACCTTGAAAGTGCATCCTCCACTATCAAGGAAAAGGCAGCGATCGTGCTTATCGGAAGCACTGCTGGAAAGTATGGCGAAGCCAATCATGGGGACTATTCTGCAACAAAGAGCGGTCAGTGACGATTCTGTCTGCAATTTGACATGGACTCATCATGTTCTAGCAATGATGTACGGTTTGAACCTTACTCTCAAGAATGAAATCGTGAAGATAGCCCCAAAAGGCAGGGTCAACTGTATTGCGCCTGGCTGGGTCAGGACACCCATGGCTGAAGAAGCCTTGAAGGATCCTCAAATGGTGTATCGTGTATTGTCTACGTTAGTGACACCATCATGATTCATGATCCATGTTGAATTTCGTGTCACCGCAGGACTCCGCTTAAGAAGGTAGCCATGCCGATCGACGTCGCAACGCAGGTCGTAGTCCTTGCATCATCCACTCTCTCCGGTCATGTCACTGGTCAAGTAGTGATGGTTGAAGGTGGAATGGAGGGGAGGTTGCTAAACAGACCGGAAGATTTGCAGGGATCTTAGGCTGGATTTTTTCACGAATGCCTTGTTCGATATAGGAGATGATGAAGTGCTTGAATTCCGCACATGCAAATAATTATTACTAGGTGAGAGTCTCGAAGTGAATTCTTGCCGATTTATACTCTCCGCAAGTTGAACCAACTCGGAAGAAGCGGTCCCCAGAGTCCCTTATGCGTCCGTCATCGTGACTTTGTCGTGAATCGCAAACGCGTCGCAACTTATCATGTCCCTTTGAGTTGGTTGCATATACTATGCAAATGAGTGGGCTAGTTCCGCGGGATCAAACACTCCGTGCTTATATATATGTTAGAATGATAACAAGGCCTTCCTGCTTGCAATATTAATAGTAGCCATGATGATCCCTTCGAGGGTTTTGTTGGATCCGGCACTTATCGATATCTATTGACCCTATCTCCGAGTCGGGCTTTGAAATTTGAGAACATTGATGCATGATGGCCAAGTTCAATGCTCGACTTGTCAAGACCTTGGACATTGGGGCAGCACCAGTGGGGAGTGATATCGATGACAACGTTATGTAATCAACAGTCCATCTGGATTCTGACTCCATCACAAGGATTCAGTGATGTCCTCCCATGTTTTCAATGCATGCATTTTCCTGGGCTTGCAGTAGACTAACGGTAAAACGAGGCTGTAGTATTTCCTAAGTCACAGAGGTATGTAATTGAAGGGCAATTGCAATGAACTCATCATTTTCTCAAGTTATCCTGTATTACTGTAATGATTAACGTGATACCAGTGCACAGGCTGTGCACCTAGCGGCCCCATATAGTGTTTCCACCTCACCGTGGCCTTCCAGTCCGTCGTCCGTTAAATTCCTGGGCTGGCTGAGCACTCACTGTATCATTCCTCTCGACTGGAGGGTCTTCGGTAGAGCAGTACTGTAGTGTCAGCTCTCTCAGTGTGTATTTACTCTGATCTCATTCCATTTTGCACTCAGTTCGAGATCTTTCACAGCATCACTGACCCAGTGTATCGAGCTGGGCTGCAGCTTTGTCCTCCAGGTCATTCTCTTCGGTCCTTGTTTCTCAACAATCTTGCGCTCGACATTGGAGATAGATTCCGGAAGTGTGGCATCATGTTCGATGTTAATGAGTCCATCGAGTTCCATCGGAATGCATTACTACTACTCTGTCCCCTGGTCATTCAGATAGATCCGAGTATCTGAACGATCTTGCACTCAGCCTTCGAGACAGATTCCTACAGCATGGCACCATGCCTGACCTTGATGAGGCCATTGAGCTGCATCGAGATGCATTACTCCTCCGTCCCCTCGGTCATTCAGATCGATCCTCGTCTCTGAACAATCTTGCAATCAGCCTTCACGACAGATTCGAGCGGCGTGGCATCATGTCGGACCTTGATGAGGCCATCGAGCTGTATCGCGATACAATACTCCTCTGTTCCCCCGGTCAATGCTGAAGACCAGTCCCCGCAAACCCGGCAACTCACTATGCAATGGGATGACGTGGTTTCACGGATCCGCATGCTTCCCGACTTTTCTCGGTTTCTCCTGCCCCCCCTTTTCTCCGACCTCCAGAAGGCAGCTGAAGACGGTCCTGTCGTCATTGTCAATGCCAGTCAGTATTGCTGCGATGCCTTGATTGTCCTCAGCGACCAAGATCCTGTCCACGTTCCGATTGATATCACGCAGACCGAAGTTTCTGATTTGTCCTCCGAGTTTCAGTCCCTTACAAAAGAATTTGGTTCTTCTGATACTCAACTCGAGCTTGTCAGCATCCTTCGTAAACTTTGGCATCACATCGTTGGCCCCGTGGTACAAGCCCTCAGGGTGTCAAATGTTCGCCCTGGTTCGCGTATATGGTGGTGTCCCACTGCTGAGTTCGCGCTGCTCCCTCTACATGCAGCAGGAGCTTATGAGAAGAAGAGAGACAGTTTGTCTCACATCTACATCTCCTCGTACACCCCCACTTTGGCCACACTTGTTCGTGCGAGACGGCAGGTTTCACGAGATGGCTCCCCTCAACATTTTGTTGCCATTGGTCAAGGAAACCCCGATGGAGGGAAGCCACTTGAATGTGTAGCTCCCGAGGTAGCCGTTGTCGCCAAGCGTCTCGCGCCCGTCGTGTCGTCCTTCATGCGGCTCGAGGACAGCGATGCAACGGTCAAGGGTACATTTGATGCCCTGAACAGCAACCAGTGGCTTCACCTGGCCTGCCATGGAATGCCTAATCGACGACGACCATTTGAATCTTCCTTCGCAATGCGTGATGGGCCGTTGATGATCAAGGACATCATCCGATCCAATTGGCAGGAGCCGCAGTTTGCATTCCTATCGGCTTGCCACACTACCGTGGGCGATGAGAAGAGTCCCGACGAATCGATCCACCTCGCTGCGGCAATGCAATTCTCCGGATTTCGCAGTGTGATTGGTTCCATGTGGTCGGTCGACGATGAGGTAGCACAGGAGGTTGTGTCTAGTTTCTACGACAACCTGATCGATGATTCAGGGAGATTGGACTGCACGCGCGCTGCAACGGCGTTGCACAAGGCTTTGAAGAAATTGTGGCGCAGTGATATTCCACTGGAACAGCGGATTGTATTTGTTCACATAGGTGTGTAGACGTTAGAGACCCGAATCGCTATATTATTCCATTTTCTGTATTTCCATTCCGTTGCTTTCCTGCTGCTTATATATGTTGGATATTTCTGCATAGCACTTTGTTGTTCTGTACTAGTGCCACACACATTGTCCCGCTAAATGAATCTCATTTACTCCTGCATCGTCACAGTTCTAAGTTATCATAGCATATGGGTTCGGTGAGTAGTGTTACCTGCGAACTACCCTTGCTGCCTCCATGGTGTATGTATGTTATACTGCGTCATGCTGGACCCTCTGTGATGAGTCGACATCGAATATCAGAACTTCCAAGAAGACTCTACAGAGTACGAGCAGGATAGACTATAACCCTATACATAACTGGCACATGTATGCAGCAGAGCACTGAACAAAGTTGCCGAAAGTGCTCACAGACTAAACCACACGGGTTGTACTACTCCAACGTTTTAGATGATGACATCAGAGATGTGTTACGAACGACAAAAGCTTGTAGACAGGATGTTCCCCACGACGAAATCATGGGACTGCGTACTGTTAGCTCGTCTTTTCTCCATCCCTTCAGACCGCCTTGCTATCGTCGGGGTCTCACCAAACGACTCGAGATAGGTCAAATAAGTATAGCACCAAGTCAAAGCTATGCCGAACATTGTGAGGTTCTTAAGGACGGCGACAATATCTGAGTAATCTTCAAAACGGCAGCCTTCCCTTGATTGTTATTATAACTGATGCGTGTTGAATGCATCGATGAGATTAAACCTCTTCAGAATCCCATTCTATGCCCCAATCAATGGAAATAACCAGGCATGGATCCCCTGCAATGACTATCGCGCTTTGGTCATCATGGGTGGAAAGCTACATTAGACATGGCACCCTGCACTCTACGGGTGTTCACATAACCTCGTGTTCTTTGGATATCTTCGCGAGTTCGTCCCTTGCTGTCTTGTACATGATCTGATTGAACGCTTCCGCATTCTGATCACTGTAACACCAAAGGCCAGCGTGTGAGATTGAGCACCCATAGATCAACAGAGGACGTACTCATCAAAGTCAACTTCTACGGATGAACCAGGGGCCGCCAGGGCAACCTTCTCGTAATCTTTTCCATAGTCCGAGGTCCACTAGAGGTACAATTAAATTGAATATCTAGCAGCGAGAAAATCACATGCGACACACCGTGGAAAACAGTCTCAACTTCCACGCGCTCCGTGGGGTATTTACGTTGCAGCCCTGATCCGTAAAGAGGATGTATTCGTACAATGTCTGCACCTTCATCCAAGTCCATGCAGCCTGTGGCACCCCAAGTACCTCTGTCCGGCACGCACGACATGCAGCTAGGTTGGAGAAAAGCCTCGTGAACGCCTTGGCTAAAGAGTTGATGTGCACAGGGTCGAAGTTACACTCCAGCCACGAAGGACCAAACTCGACCATCTGGATTGAGGGAGATGGGAGGCTGTGGTTTTCTTCTGGAATATTCTCCTCGCAGTTGTCCACGGCCTGTATACATGCATCGACACTGGCTTTCGTAGATGCATCGAGGCACAACCCAAGCGCTTTCAAGCGGCGACAATATCGTGCATAGTGCACTAGAGATGCAATGCTAGCCGGAGGCTTGTATGTCAAGACAACACGCTGGACGATCGATGACAGGTATAGTAACTGCACAGAGCGCCATGTCTGCGCGATGCGCAGATGGTCTTCGTCTGTGAGATAGAGTGGGACACCGAGACAAGCCGAAAAGATCTCGAGATTCCGGAACTGCAGGGCGGGCTCGATGGCGTGTATGTCTAGTATGAATTGGTGAGTGTCGATTCCCGAATCAGCATCCCAGCGTGCAAGGTCGCTTTTTGAGAGCACGGAAGTTATTATAATCTTCTGCAATGACTCCTTGGACACAGCTGCAACAACCCCCGAGAGTACCAGTGCGATATCGGCATTGGTGTAAAGACCGTGCATTCGTAGAATTACAGATTGGATAGAGCGATTAGCTGGGAATGCGGAGAATATGCGGCTGATGATATCAGGAGGGCCATCAAACGCGACGCTCTTCAGCGAGCCGAATGTCTCTGACGCGGAGGAGAGGCGGGGAATTTCTTCGAAAGGTTTCTCGCAAACCTGAATGGTCAGGTCCTCCAGCTTGCGAAGCTGTGACATTAAATCGAGAACTTGTGGTAAGGAAGCGGCAGTTATGTAGAATGCTGCATGTGTCAGGCTTTGAAGGCATGCCATATCCATATGATCTTGACCCGGGTCCTTAGTAAGTGACAACAACGGCAGTGCTTCGTACAAATCAACTACAGAGAAATGTGCAAGCTTGGGCGCACACCGAAAAATAGTCATGTATACCGACTTGATGAGATCGCCAAGGTCTAGCGGACGATTGAAAACATATAAATTTTCATCGAAAGATAGTGAGATGTCGGTCAATTCGGGTGTGATAAGGGCTGGGAGAAGGCGAAGGCCAGCCTCGGATGATATGCGAAGGTGGAGGACATCTATGCGAGGAGTTAAGAGGAGATTATACTCAATAATATCATTTATTAAATTGCGAGGGATAGGCTCGTGTGGTTCCGAAAAGGATAGAGTGCGCACGCGGTTGGATATTGAGATATAACACTGGCGCTCTGTCGACTTCAGGTCCCCAAGAACCTGCGGCAAAATCAGTAAACTGAAGGTGGCTAGTAATGGGCTGATGAGACGACCTTTGAAAGTCGAGCTTTATCACCGTGCTCTTCGTTAATTTCAAGAGGAAGCAGCCGAAGAAGCGGGAGCAGGCTGTCAAGATTTTTCCAAAGGAAATCCAATGCAGGATCTCGGAAAGTCTTGCAGACTTGGGAAATCCTAGCCATGTCCTTGATGCCCCGGCGGAGATTGAGTCCCTCGTCATCATTGTACACATCGCGAAGAATGTGCGTGAGTAACTCGGTGATTGCGAGGGCGCGATGCATTCGGGTGCATGATTGTAAAGGTCACCTGGACGTTCACATCCTCATAAAGGACAATCGCTATCAGGTTGATATGATGTTCCACTCGACTGACAGGTCATGCCAAGCACCACGTGCCAGGAAGAGACTTATCAAGGCCTTGTACGTACCTTGTTGGCCTCGATCAAAGGTCTCGAAGTAAGTGAAACATTGATCGTGTTGCTGGAACCACAACCTGGGATACAGCAGTAAGTAAGTTATGACGGTACACGTATCGTAACGTCCACATGCCGCGCCGAGAAGACCGATGCCAAGAACCAAGGAGTGTATGATTGGAGGATAGGAGATTTCGAAGAGTTCGATGAGGACATCGACATTGATGAGACTAGCGGACCTTCAATGTTGATGCTCTTGGTGGTTAGTTCCTTGTTCGCAGTATAATCTATTCGGTTCTTTCCTTTTGGGACTTTTGACGCCGTCTCAGATCTAGCTTAGGGTGTTGATGACAAAAGGCCCGAGCGCTGGGCACGAGTGTAGCCGGCAGAGGATCTTGGGAGATGGGCAACCGATCGTGTTTGACAAGTCTTAGCCCTGCTCATTAACGTTTGGACTCTGACAGGGATGTTCGGATGCCCATTGAACCTAGCCTGATTGGATTTCGAGTTGACTTACGATAGTACAAATTTGGATGAGACCCGACATTGTGTGATCCTAACAAGTGTCAACAATGTACACTAGAGTTCCCGACGAAGCGAGTTACGCAGGCACATTTCAGTCGAGTTCAATAGTAATCAGGTCTCCTAGAAAAGAAAGCCAAATTTGATTGACGAGCACTCAAACGTTAGAATACAAAATGATTCCCAGAAAACGTCGCCTTTTAACATAAATGTAATACATGTCATCTTGAAGACTGATGATTCTCGTGTTATGATTCGTCAATTGAATTGTAAACATAACGATACGCCTGAGGATACTCGCCCTGGCTTGACCCAGGAAGGAGGGGCACGGTCTCAATATTCACAGAAGCCACCTGCGTAGGTTCAATAGTGGATGTACGCGTGAGTATAGTTCTCTCCCGTTCAACAATGCTAGATAGAAGAAGGGAGTTATGATCGAGCCAAAATAGCGAGATACAGACGCACTCTCTCATGACAGTATCATTTATCATACGCTCAGCATGCCGTTTACTTTGGTTGTCCTCGTACTGATCAGTTTCATCGACAATTTCCTCTGAAATAATTTCCTGGGAGGAATGTCATGTCATATACCTAGGAAAGCGACATGAATAATCATACCTCGATAACATCTAACCCAAAAACAATAGCTGTTAGGCAGTGACAAGTGCACATGATTGGTCTTACCTTCTAGAGTAATCAGACCAATTGCGCCGCCATGTGAACCAGGTGTCCGACTGATCAATAATAAATGCGCACGCCCTGTCTGGCTAAAAAATTGTTCCTATTATCGCCTGGATTGCTATAATAGAAGTATGAAGTGAGGAACGTACAAATAGTCGAGTGCTTGAAAACAGTTGATTGATGGCAGGGCCTCAGGTAAGATGGACAGAGGAAAGTGTGAGACTGGGAGTGCTCGTGCGGGGTCGTACATCAGCAACTGTCACGCAACTGTCAACAAGCTATTCAAACTGAAGTGCAGCTTCAGATGCACCTTCTTGATCAAAAGAAGGCCCTCAAATGCGAACGGATTTCCTGGCTTGTGCACGGGAAACCGAGAATAGCCGCTAGTGAGGCTAAAGAGGTGTGAGTGCGCTCCTGTGAAGACAAAGGCAGTTATTCGAATACATAGCGTCAATAGTGGCGTGGTCTAGAATTGTATCCGAGCTCAACATGACAACATCCTGCAATGATGAACACCCGCCGTAAGTGTTGAGCCCACCAAAAGGAAATATCAGAAATACTGACACAAATGGGGGTCATAATCATCTCCACGTTCTTACTGCTGAGCTCCAGGACGCCATTGAGAATGCCAATCTCGTCATCACGCAAAGGCTCTTTGCCAGTACGGTGGAATTGAAGAAAGGATTTCAATTCAGCTTTCTTGTAGGTGTGTGTATCGTGAACTCCTAATGCACGGTCGAGAATTTTTGCGACTGGATATGCGATGGGTGCTGTGCCGGGTAAAGGTTACTTACAAACTCCTGGGAGTCAAAACTGCGTACACACCAAAGAGGTACATTAGAAGAAGAACAAATGGCGCAAATCGTGCACCGATAGCGAGGCCGTGTCTCGCGCAAACCGCTTGAGGTATAACCCTTTTGTTAAGTAGGTCAAAAATAACTCCATAACGCATAACACATTGTACTTACTCTCTGTCCGTCAAAAAAGTAAGATTTCATCAACCATCATGTTCCGTGATGCTCAAAACAAATGGTATGCGTACCCAAATATAACTGAAGTCGGTCCGATCAGTTGTTGAACCTGATGCGTGGATTTCGCTACTTACCAATGGCAGTCGCTGAAATTACTATAGCAAGTAAACCTCCTCCAATCTGAGTGTCGATAAGGTTATTTGCTCTGAGCCAAAAGGGGGCATATGCCGAGCATGTGCTCACCGCGCTATCAAGAAAGATTGGCAAACTCTCGTTGATAATCTAAAACGTGACCCTTCATTATGCAAGACGAAAGTGTGTATACTCGATGATACGAACGACGTTACTGAGAAGAAGCACCTTGAACGAGCTTGAGAATGAGAAGGATAGAGAGCAAGTAAAGACTTACCACCAGCACCCAGTGGCGACCTCTTTGCATGAGGTTCAACACTAACAATACCGTTGACTGAAAGTTGGGTGACACCTGTCAGATACTGCACGCACCAATTTGTGCATTTGTCCGTTCCGTTTTTTCTTCTGACGAGGTGGCCAACACACGAAGATGAAGTTCGTCAAGCCCCATAAGCCCAATTGATAATCTGTTGAGGTACATTGGATCAACATCTACTGGACTCAATGTGCGACCCACCCAGCGAAGACGCCCCCCGCAAGAACTAGAATTGCGCTGGTGGCCATTTTCCACCAAAATTCAAAAGAATCAGGCGAATCCTTGGTAGGAATCTTGGGGATGAACATGGTACAGCGAAATCACTATGATAATATGAATATGCAGATGGATGTAGGCTTTGACTTATACCAGTGAGTCTAGATTGCGCCCTTTATGCTATCGGCCGTGCGCCGCGGACATTCAAGAATTCTGCACCGAATATCTGACACCGTTCTGTGGTTCCGATATCTTTTATGTAAACGTATACCAACCATTCGGGGCCTTTGCAATAGGACCGCTGTCGCAAGACCAAGACAGGCTGCGAGCTGCTTGATGTTAACCTTATAATATTCATCGATATAGTAAAGAAAATTAGATACTTACGAAACGTATCGACGTCTTTTTTAAGACTAGTAGAACCGATCTGCCATGTGAGTGACTGTCAGAGCATCAGAGGACTAGTGAGTCGCAGATATCATGATATGATGACGATAGATGATCGCATATAGAAAGGTTTTCGTTATATTGGAACGTAGCCATGTATAAGGTCGGAAACCACCGCAATCAACGTAAAGCACGTAGGGAGACTCACCAATCCTTCGAGTCTGATATGATGATTCGTAATTGACTTCCTTGGCCCGGGAGAATACAAAAGATGAAATTATATAAGACACGCTTCTTGATGGCTTGGCTTGGCTTGCCGATATGAAGCCCCATGGCGGCCACTGCGCTGTAGTAGCCTGAGTAGTATGAGGCTATGGGGTCGTGCACGCAGACGTCGTAATCCATGGTACATTTGTGACCTGTTCCAAGAGAGTATTCGTGTCCGACAACAGCGGTCTCCGCGAGATATGCTTTATGCGAGATGATGCGGCATGACCTCACTGCGCGCTGTCCGTTGAAAGATAAGAGTAGTGAGCCTGAGGCCCTGAGCGCCTGCCAGGATGACTCGAAGTTCAACCGGTGTAGAGCAATATCCGTGCCAAAGCCAGCTACTATGAAATTAATGAAAGTCTTTCCGGTCGCCGTCACTTGAATGCCGAGAGAAGCTGCTGCTGAGTAGACTCAGAGTAGGACGGTCTTGCAATAGTTTCCCTCCAACTTAATATCGGACCATTATCGGTCTTTGGACGAGCGGAAGAAGCCGGTGTTTCTTGTTCCCGCTCCTCCGAGTGCTAGTAAGACCTTGGACGTATCTGTCGTCTAGCTCCTTATCCCCACCCACTCCCAGTTCACTACTACCATGTTTCGTGACGGTGCTTCGCATTAATGTGCCGAACCGTTCCTGTGGGCTCTATTAGCATGATCTCCCAATGACTCCCATTCAGAACACATCCAAACTTGCTGGCCGCGAATCGCAGCTCACTTCCTCTCTTTCGATCGGGGACAAATAGCGCCATTCTCTTAGTTCTCGCACTTGTAGTCCCGCCCCAAAATATATTTGCTTTCTCAAATACCCTGATTGCACGAACGCTATGGCGTCAACCAAAGACTACATAGTAACTTGAGAACTTGAATATTAAATGGCGGTACAGAGTTAACCGAGAATCCGAGATGCAACCAAAAATGTACACGTGACAAAAACCTTCCCTTGCACATATTCCACATTGACACTGATCACTATCAGACATTTTTCTCATGCCCAAAACTGCGACACGAAGTAGTAGGTATCATCATGAAAACGAAAACATGGATGTAGCGGGAGTAGATGAGGAACGGGAAGTTGATGAACTATTAGAGGATAAGACAGACACAGTCACGGATAACCCGGAGCTGATGGCAAAACTTCGCGAGGCATGGCAAATGATATGGCCGGCGCATGTCATCGCGGAATGGGTCGAAAGACAGCCTGCGGTATGCTCTCCTAAGAACTTGTGTCCTCGGCTCACAGCTCATGATTTCCTTATTGTGCAGTGTGCAGCGTGCGTGTCACAATCACGCAAGTGCTACCCTTCACCGCAACAGGGTTCATTGCGTTGTATGCCATGTGCACGTTCAAGGGCCAAACCGTGTCCACTAAAACGCCAATTCCAAATTGAAAAGTCGGCTGAAGTGCTTCAGCTGACGGTTGAACAGGTCAAAGGGCTCGTGCAGCAGGCGGACGCTTCTTCTTCGAAACTGCCGGTTTGTGGCAAACTGTGGAGGAGTACCAGCGAAAAAAACCTTCGTCGTATTTCACTCAAGTCCGCACCTGGAGGTGCGCGAGCCAAGAATGTTCAAGAACCGGCTCCCTCGCACATTATTTCTGCCTCTGCCCCTAATCTCGAACCTCTTTCTCCGGCCTATTCTTCCACCGTTCAAAATACACCGCAACTACCCCAGACCGCTTCTACTGGCTTAAGAGTCAAACTTCGATCTTCTACCGGCCGGGGTGTACATGAAAAAAGAACCCACCTGGTGGAGCCCGATCCAACACCTGGAACTCCCGTTCATCATTCCCAAGCCTCCCATGTCACCTTTCAGGATGTGTCACCTGACGGACGGGCGCTCAGCATTCTTAGTTCACCACCCTCTTCTGTAGCAGAGCGCCTGTCATCACCTGATATGGATCACCCATCCGTCAGAGAGGTTCAGCTCCAACCACCGGTGTTTTCAAATGGTAATTCAGCACCCACACTTGTTACACTTGCTGGAATCGATGTTGGAATCGATGAGGAATTCGACGAGATTCCGGTTGTTTTCGCAAGCGAATTGGATCGCGCTGAAGAGGAGATCGCACGACTAAAGTCTGCCTTGGAAGCACAGGAGAAGGAGGTTTCAAGGCTCCAACGTAACCTCAAACGACGAGACGAGCAACTCGAGGACATCCGCGAGGAACTTGACGAAGTCATTCATCTCCCTACTCCTCGCGCAACGCCAGCCTCAGAACATGAAAATAGCATGCGAAAGTACACTGCCTGTCAGTATATCGCACGAACTCTGAGAGCCCTGCGCGCAGATGCTGAGACGGAGGAGGAACGAGAGGCTTTGTTGTTAAAGGCAGAGCGCCATCTTGGCAGACTTGCTAATGTGGAGATGGATGGCATATGGGATACTAAGGCCGATGCAGACGCCCTCTTCGTTGGTCTTGTTAATGGGTCTTCTGCAAGAGCTGCGAGACACGCGCAAAGAGGAGCGGTCAATCCTAGTTCGGCCAAGACTTCTGTGTCTGCATCCGCGATTGCTCAGCAACGCTCGTCTAAACGGAGACGACAGGGGGACTCAGATTGACAGTCATGATATTGTTAATATCATTGCAAGGTATCCAAACCCATGTTTTGACGCGTGTGCGATGTTGTACACTTGCGCACGCATGATGTACGCATGTAATGACAGATATTTAGCTTGTTGTGCAAGTCGTTTACTACGGTGGATGTATTGTTATGCTACTGATTTACGCGGCTCTATACGGTAACACAGTTGTAACTTGGAACTTTGACGTCGACGTAGATTATGATTTGGAAGGCTCGCTGACCTCGCATCTTGCCCGTACTTCCAGTGATTATTATGTCATCATGATTCTTCGGGTCATAGACTCATACTAATCTTCAAGTATAATTTATCAAAATTTGACTAGTATATATGTTCCAGCAATCGCAGGACACAGTGTGAAATCTGCACTACGATTCCAAAAGCATCACAACGTCGGTGATGAGCTCGGGCTCCAAACTCTTGCGAACGTGAATAAACGTTAGTGCATTATGCATACGCGGATTTCACGAGGTGTTGGCTTCGGGAATGACTATAGCCGAGCCGGATTCTGATAAGAAGCTCGAATTCAGTTCGCGACTTGTAACAATTGTTGACGTAGCACAACTCACCGACGAGTATATACTTATGGCAAACCGTCTCGCACAGGTGTCCGGTCACCTTAGCAATGCACATGGACGAGGGCTTCTCTCTGGAGAGGTAGCTATCATTACTGGTGAGTTTGTGTGATCACACGGTGCTAGGTGCTTGTCATGCTAACGTTGCCACGTATGGTTAGGTAGCGGACAGGCAAGGAGTTTTGTGTTTGAGAGGGAGATAATATTGATGAATATATGAATTGTAGGGTATCGGGCGCAGTGCAGCGCTGCTGTTCGCAAAGGAAGGCGCCAAGGTTGTAGTCAGCGAGTAAGTTCCGAATGCGTCCCGAACCTACGAAGTCTAACCGATTATTCTGCTTAGTATTGACGCCAAGAAGGCTGCGGACGTAGTGAGCGAGATAAAGGCGGCAGGTGGCGACGCAATATACGTTGCAGGAGATGTTGGAGCAGACGACTTTCCACAGACAATCGTTGACGCAACTGTAAAGTCAGTGCTGTTTCGCCATACGAGTAGGCGGTCTCGTTTCTGACTGCATTCTAGGCAGTATGGCAAGATTAACCACATCGTGAACAACGGTCAGCGCTTTCGGGGTCGTTATCAAGTACCTTCTGTTCTGACATGTTGTACAGCTGGTTTCACACACGACAAGATGATTCACACCATGCCAGACGAGACATACGATGTTATCATGAAAATCCACGTCCGCGCACCCTTCCGCCTTATTCGTGCTGCTGCACCTTATTTCCGAGTCAAGGTTCGTTCAAGTGCACTTAATCTAGTTATTCCCGTGTACTGACAAGCTCCTAGAGCACTTCGCCTGAAAACCGTTCTATCATCAACGTTTCTTCGACGTCTGGTCTGCATGGAAATGTTGGCCAAGCAAATTACGCTGCTGCAAAATCTGCGGTTGTAGGTCTCACCAAGACTATTGCAAAGGAGTGGGGACCATTTGGTGTTCGTGCGAATACCATTGCATATGGCCTCGTGCACACTCGGTATGACATGTCGAACTTTCACATTATTGCACCTGACAGGATACAGGTTGACCGCAGCAAAAGAGGACGGTGCAACCATTGAGATTGACGGTCAGAAGGTTGCACTGGGCATTCCCGGAGCAAGGCAGCGCGCTATTGCTCAGAACGCTAGTGCTTACGTGGATATTCCTCTGCAGAGAGGTGCCACTGCGGACGAAGCGGCCGCAGGCATGCTTTTGTGCGTTTCAGCCTCTATCTTTGTACTAGCTGACTGATGGTCTGTTCAGCCTTGCTTCACCGCTTGCGTCGTACGTGTCTGGCCATACGCTGGAAGTGACGGGCGGGCGAGGAATCTAATGTCGCATTCTATTTCATGGCAACCATATGCTGTGCAGTTGTATTATTTTGCGACGTTTCTTTATTGCTAGTAGGATTTCATTGAAACTTCAGACAATTCACAAACGGAACGATCATCCACTAAACGTTTCGTTCTCGTTTCTTGTACTGATGAGCACATCGAGGGAAGTGACAGGTCCATTGGCAATCTCACCTGGTAGAGCCAAGTACTCTAGAAATTGAAAGTCAAGGTCGGGTGGCACATATGTTCCATTTCAGAAGTGTCGCACAACTATTTTCTTCGCAGATCAGACTATGTGCCGTCCTGCTCTGTGACACAACCAGTATTCTAGAGTCGGAACTCCATCTCCATCCCATCTAAATCGACGTTGTAGTCGAGACTGAAATTTGGGGATCTGAATGCTACTGTAATGGCCATCAGTGGACCGGTGAGTTCTTGGTTATGCTAGTCACCTATCTTTATCGATTTCAGGTTTAGGCTGCTCATGGGGAAGTCAGCAACGACTGAGAACGGACTGAGTTTTGAGGGAGGGTTCGAATCAGAATTTGAAGATCAGATAACGACTATTGGATGGAACTTGAGGACCGAGCAGCGCCTTACATGTCGATTCGGTATGCGTAATGAAACTTTCCAATGAGCCTTACTCACAAAATGTAAAGCATGCCAAGTGTGATCTCGCACGTTTAGCAGAGTCAATGGATCTTGGCTACCTGGCAAAATGCTGGCCAGCAGGACTACTCGACGCCGAAGTTACTGTAATACAATCGATAGGTAATGGTGGGGCCCCCGGCCGGCATTGATATTGAGTGATGAGCGCTGGATAACTTACTCCAAACGACAAATAAGATTTAGCTACGAGGATCATTATTATTGGCAAGCACAACAGCTGCGAGATACTCGGCTAGCATCTTCTCGTCTTTATCATACAGTCAATCAACCGTGTCGGATCCTCTTCCCTGCATTATCCGACGTTTCACCTTCCTCTCGGGGCCTCTTCTGCTCGAGAAGCTTAGGGAGCGGACAAAGTTTGATACTATCACTGGCGGGGTTTTTCAAAGGTTTTCAATGTTTGATGCGCAGCACACTCGTCAAGAGGTCTTTTTTTTCCGCTTCTTGACAGACCTGTGGGAAATATCGTGCTCTATCACACCCAGGTGAAATCTGATTTTTTTGCGATGATGTTCGAGTGGCGGAAGGAATCCGGTTGTGCGATGTCAGTTTGGCAGGGACTGGATATGCTGTTTCAAAATTTGTCACAGCGATGTCACACTGGAGTTTTGTAGCTCCGCAACAGCACGCTCGGCAGAATTTTGAATCTCGATATCTGAACGAGCGTTCGAAGGAAATCAAAGATTCTATGGATTCGTGCATGTACATTATATAGACCAGCTATTCACAGTAAGTAAATCTAAATGTATGTATGTACATTAAGTGGAGTGGATATGATAGTAATAGAATGAAAGTGAGTATGTTCACAAAGTGTATAATCAAAGACTGGATGTAGGATATATACCAACGAGGATTAAACTCACAGTCCAGGTCATTGCGCTGGTGAGTGATAATAAGGTGGATAATAAAAGGGATCATGTTGAGGTTGAAATGATTCGAGGTGAGGATGTTCTTGATAAGGTGTATTAATTGCAGATGCGAGTGGGAGACAGCTTGCCGAATGCAGAAGAGGATGTGCGCCGAGCGCAAGTGGAGGTTCATGTTCATTGTCGTCAAGCGTGTGAGAAGATGTTGATGCAACGGGTCGTGATGGCGGCAGATTTTCTTCCTCGATAGCTGCCCGTTGTTGACTATCGCGCGCGTCCCTGAGATTTTGCGGAATAAATTGACCTGGCCCATCTGGAGGCTGCTATAAGATACACCTCCCCTGTCGGTCTTACTTGATGTACAATTTTTGAGCGGAGATTATAATTGATGCTGCACTATGTCACGGTGCGGCATCCACTCTTTCAACAAATTCACTGATAACATGGTTCTGCCCTCATTCAATCGCGATATAGAAATCGCAGTGGTAAGCATTATTTGTATAGGGACAGAGATTGTTTTCCCTTGGTTTTTTTTCCTGTTTGACAAAGTATACAGATTGTAGCATTACAATCATTAACGCTCAGTGGTGTGACATATGTCAATGGATGATTTATTGTGAACACAACTGCTCGATGTTTTCTGTAAGATCTTCACAGCTGTATTCTATAGACACTAGAGAACACTGGCTAAAATCACAGAATATTTTTATGCAGTGTACAGCTCGCGATATGATGATCAGCGAATTTTGAAACCCAATACCCATTTTGAAAAACCCCGCCAGTGATAGTATCACCAGCATTCTGTTGCGCATCATCGAGATATCCTGCGGCTTTTCTATGCATGTCTTTCAGAAGGGAGTCATCAAGCGCAAGCAAGGGGTATTTAGACTCTGCCGTTTCATAACTGTCTCGGAGAGTCTGTGCGAAATGAGGAATATTTTTGCAGACATTAGAGCATCTATCTGAAAGGATAGATTTGCAGGTCCACTGAAGTCTTCGGATTTGAGTGAAGAAGTTCAGGCGTGTTCCCTGCCAAATCGCACCAGGGAACGCCAGATGGAATTGTCTCCACTGCGCATGCACATCAAAGAAATTATTGGAGTTCGCCGTGATCGTGTCCGTGTGATAAAAGATCCACGTATATGCCCACCATACAGATTCGATGTCGTGCAGGAAGTGCATGCGGAATGGAGGAGGGAGCGGAGGGTCTGTGTCAAGAGATGTACTAGCAGGTGGAAGGGAAGCTCGGGGGAGGAAAAAGTACTCCTGATATTCTACTTCTATCGCCATGAAATGCATTGTTCCCTGCCGACGTAGTTAGCAGCGAGAGGTATCATCTTCAGAAATTCTTACCGTTCGATCGTCGTGAGAAGTGTTTGAATCTATCTCTTTCGCGTACTCGAAGTCACTCAGTTTGCCGATACCCCTGTTGTCGCCGACGACCCAACTCACGTTCCCGACGCTGAAATCGCGATGGACCCAGCCTGCTTTGTGCAAATAAGATAGGGCTAAGGGTGGCGTGAGCGACTGAGGTAAGGAGAATAAGAATAGTTGCTTTACCCTTCAGTCCGCCAGACAAGCAACTCAGGTTGTCGGCCAGAGAGATCACATCCTTGATAGCGACTCAAACATCGTCAAAAACGATGCGCGCATGGACTCTCTGTGAGATTCGTGTTTCCTTTCGCCCAACAATGCCCAATTGTGCGGGAAGGAAGGCAGATAGTCTACCGCTGTCGGGTACGGCACCTGTAGTAGATAAATACAGCCTTTCGGAGAGGATGGGCTTGAGATCGATAGGTTTCCACTTCCAGGTGCCAATGCCATCATGCTCGTCTCCGGCTATCGGGTTCACCGTCTCATCCGAGGCGCCGTCGATTGTGACATCCTTCCAGAGCCGGACTCCAATGAAGTGTCTCTTGGCATCGGCGAAATCCTCTGCTCCTAGCTTCTTCTCGCAGGAGGCCAAGATTTTTTCTACGATCTCGCCCTCAGATTGACGGTCAATTTCTCTCCACGAATCTTTGATGGCAACCTTCTTCCCTTTAGCGTCCGTGGCTTCGTACACGCGAGTTCCACGCCCAACCATAGAGTCCGCGCCGTAGGTGGCAAGTTCCCGTGTCGTGGTGAACACTTCGTCCCCTACTGTGAACTTGTATTGCGTTTTTTCTCCTACACGGATCCGCTCGACAGTGGGGTCCCATCCGAGCCATTTCAAGGAGGTAGACGCAGACGCAAATCCAAGAGCATAAAACAGAGAGATGACGCCATCAATGTCCTAGATGTATTATACCAGTTAGTACCGCTGACATACAGCGCGATAAGGTGGCGTACCTCGAAACAGTTCATAGGCTCTGTAACTGCGAGGAACCCACGATTGCCGAGCCACAGTCTCAATTGCGTGTCCTCGATTGTGATACCGAAGGCGAACCGACGACAGGGGTCCTCGCGCATGATATTGTGAAGGCTCCAGATTATCTTATGTTCGTTCTAGAGCAGAGTTTAGAAGCCGGCGCAGAAGAGATCTATGACAACAACTTACGTCTCGGAAAGCTTTGGCATCCTGTTCCTTCTTGAATTCGAATGGCACAGCGATATCGAACCAATGCATCTGGGTACAGTTCGATTGTTCGCCCGCACAAGGTATCCATCCGGCAGGGAAGTATTATGGCGCTCTGAGAGGAGCATTTTATTCGGATTCGATAGGTAGGATACTCCACAATTCGGGACTTGTTCCAAGATTCCAGAGATGATTCCCTCGAGCTTGAACGACATCTCTTCGGACATTTTCGCAGGTCGAATGAAGTCCTTCCATTCCAGGCCGTTGTCGGTGAGAATCTCGCTTCGTATGAAGTCGTCGCGCATCTCCTCCAGAAGCTGCTGAGAAGGCACGGCACCAACACACTTCGCTAGTGAACCGAACGGGACCTGCAGATACCTTCTCAAGTCAGTAAGAACAGCCTCGCGACCTAGCTCCAGATCCCCCGTGCGATAATCAAATTGTGAGGTGTGGCAAGGGACTAGGGGTGTATCTGGCGGTGGTACCTGTGACTTCCGTGATCGTGGTGTATGAGGGGTGGCCATTCAAGTTGTGATTCGATCTGTGAAACGGTTCGGCTTTGGGGAGAAATCCTCGAGGTTGCACAAAAACCAGAATGAAACTGTTATTGCAGCACTTGAGTACCTTCGCATTCGCAAATGTGGCTACGTAGTACCTCACAGGGGACCAAGAGCAAGTTGGACTTCCATATGTGTACAAACACCACGTGCATTAGAAGACTGGTCACGAGTACTACACGTGCATGTGTGGCGTCTGTGAGATGTTGTCTGGTTCACTTCCGTTGACCCTTAGGCTGCAGAAGTTCCAGATGCCCTTGGATTTTTGTTGGGTGTATAGCCCTGCGGCGCTTTTCCACACATAGGAGTTTTCAGTTACAACAGCACTGCGTTTCAAATTGACAGCCTACCATGATAATACATCCTACCGTGACAGTAACCGTGGCAGTGTGGCACCATGCTATAAGACCATTCAATTGATCTTGCCACGTGCGTCATTTTTTTATAATGATCAAGCCCCCAAGTTATCGTGATTCGTCCTTTAGATCCAAGTCCGCGACGTGATTGCGCTATGCAGGGAGGTTGTAAACACAGGACGGGCTCCGACGTGTTACCAATTCATACCAATGTTGCAAAAGACCCGGCTGTCTGCGTTAGCTTCCTGCGGCGCAGTCGCAGCCGCCGTCAGGCTACAAGTTTCGCAATATGATCTTTGAATATTGAACGTGAAACTAGACGGTCAAGCAGCCAAACATTATGTCTAAGTTTTGTCGTCAGCTGCCTCGGTATCATCGATGACAATCACCCTAGCACCGGGTGCACCATTGACATTGGACAGGAACTCAGCTTGATGAAAAGAATGGGATCAGGATAAGTTGTTGGGACGTGTTGATTCTCAAGCATGCAACTTCCACAGATTGTTCTGCTTGGCCGTTTCCCCAGCTGCACCTCCAGGACATGCGCAACTCGCACATGCCGAGCCTCACAAGCTAAGCTTTGATTCTCCTCTCATGCTCGAAAAGAAGTTGACCTATACACTCACTCAAAAATAATATGTTTCCTCTGTAGAGGTTCCACCGCTGATGAGGCGGCCGAAGGCATGCTTTTGTGCGTTTCAGCCTCTATCTCGGTACTTTAGCTAATCGAGGTTCAGTCTTGCTTCACCACTTGCGACGTACGTGACTGGCCATACGCTGGAGGTGACGGAAGGACCAAGAATCTTATGTTGCACTTTATTTCATGGCAACCATCTACTGTGCAATTGTATCATCTCTTCGTTGGCATTTCTTTTCCATTTCGCAGGTATCGTACAGGTAATCTTCTTTACAGGTCGGAATATGTGCCGTCCTGCGACTAGTATTCTAGAGCCAGGACCCATCCCATCCAAATCGACGTCGTAGGCGAAACTGAAAATCCAGTTCAATCACAAGGTCTCAAAAATGCAGCATCCATGCCCATCCGCGCGACTCTGGCTACATCATCTCTAGTCAAGCCCAGGCCTAACGGAGGCTGTGCTAGAAGCAAAGAGTACTCTCCAAGACAAGACGTTCTGAAAGGGAGTGTGTCGTCGGTCTATTGGTAATGTAAAACGTCAAACGGAAGATCCTATGACACACAAGATAGCGTACTTACACAGATGACGACAGGATGGTCATTCTTCAGATAATAGTGAATATGATGCGCGTCGAGGGATGCGGCGGTTTTGCCTCTAAAAGAAACATTGTATTAGAGCTCGCAGAGTTGATGCATGATCCTACAGAAGATTGGAGCTTAGGCATATCTCGATGCACGGCTTGCAGTGTCTGTTTTCACGCGCGCTATTGGGCGACTTTGCTTGTTTGATCGTCTCTTCGATATCCTTAGACGCAATTTTCTCATAAAATTTCTTTGCATAGGCCAAGAAAGACATCTGCACTTTCGCTTCTTTAGACTCAATGCTATCTGAAATGGAGCGTAGAAAATAACTCACTTTGAGATTTTGTAATCTCTGTCCGGCTGTCGTGTAAGGGCTTGTTGTGCCTGTAGCACATTCAAACAATGAGCTGCATTCCGTCCCAGACTGCGAGATATCCTCAAAGAACATAGCCTTGAGTTCATCTGAAAGGAATGTCGCGTGTCCGAGTCGATCCGGGCGACAACTAAGGAGTGCCAGAGAATCCTCAGTTGTATTCGCTGTGGTCTACAAATTCAGTTGCATACACCAGACTCCGGAGTGAATATAACAAGATACCTCCGCGATGTGCACGGTCAATCCAAGACCGGCATCCTTGGCTCTTGATAGGTGCCGAGTGAAAGATTGCATGTCGCCCCTGCGTGGATCCCCGCATACATCAATGCCTACGACTCTTCTACCCCTGTTCTTCATCTCGATGGCAAGACTAACGCACTCCTCAAGGTCCAAGTCGCTCATGCGACGATCGACGGATACGATCAGGGCGGCCTGAATAGCAGGATACATCTCTACTTCATCAAGCACGATTGTAAGGTACCTCTCTCGCGTCATGTGTGTCGTCGCGCGAGGTGTAGTTCGTAGTTCAAGATACGTGCACTGAGGGCTTTCCGCGCCATCACCTGTGGGGTTCAAGAACCACTGGAGGACTGCACGAGTAACGGTCGTGACTGCTTCCGGAGTCGTTGTCAGAGCATAGATGGCAGGCATGAGAGAGAAAAAATCATCTAGTTCATTGAAGACGATTCCAGACTTGACTCGGAGTTTCTCGAGAGTGTCTGTGACCTCAGTTGTCTGTGCGACGGTAGAAGGTGAGTATTGCTGCGCAAGTTCCAGTATTGTTTGGATTGGTATAGATCCATTAAGATGAGCATGAAGTTCTGCCTTGGGGAGTGCCTGAAGGAAAACTAGGTCGTCAGGGCATAGCGATGCCAAGGCAGCAGCAGCAGGACCCGCGATCTCTGACATGGCGACTTATCGATAAGCGTCGCTTAACAAAACCGGATGGGGCAACTTGAACGTCAACGAATATGAATATTATGGAGATATACTAGCTAGTAGCACATGTGGTCATATACTCGGAGAGTCCATTCGGAGGACAACTTGAAGCTCAGTGAAAGATAATAACATTTGAATGTAAGGTACTTTGCATTTGAATTTGACTTTGAAAGCACAGCCGCCAGGGTCGACATGGAAAATCAAATTAAACACTGTTGATGTACTAGCAGCAGGGGCTCAGCGCTCAGCGCTCAGGACTCAGGGCTAAGCTCTAGTTACTCGAAAATATCTTTCACTCGAGAACGTGTAGACCAGTGGGACTACTTGTAGACGCATTTTGATCTATGAGATCTATACACCCTTTATCCATTTTCAGATTCAGGCTGCTCGCGACAACGGCGGTCATCATTTGAAAATTGACTAGGCTTTGAGAAAGGGTTCGAATCAGACTTTGAAGACCAGATAAACAACTATTGGATCTTGAGCTCGAGCGAGGACCGAGCAAGTTTCTAAATCCTGTATGAGACACGAATATGAGTGCGATGGAGCGCTGATAAACAGTGCTTGGACCAGCTAAGTGATAGTAGTATTATATGTGCGAACGGAAACATTGGTATCCCCTTGCGCTAATTCTGTTTAGCGGTCGCCAATATTTCGTCTTCCTGTCATCGGGACAACTTGGACCACGGCTTTGATTGAACTTGGTTCACATCTATAATGGCAAGCCGCTCCTCTAACAAACGGCAGAGGCCCAGGCCATGACGCGCGGCAGAATAGACACAAACTCCAGTGCTTGAAGAGGGTCTCTGATATCATACAGTCGGACATTATGGTCCATGGCGTGGATTTGCTACATTGATCACTCGTGAGCTCGTTTGAAGATGGTGAACAAAGGCAGCACATACATCGTTTGCCTTCCTCGCCATCATAACTATGTCAAGTGTGCCATCAACAACAAGTCCAAAGACAGGCTGATTTGTGATGCCGAGCTCGGAAAGGATGGTAGCCGCCGAAACCAGGGAAATCCTGGTCTGGATCATGGCTGTCGAAATGGTGGGGTGGTCCCTTTTCTTGTACTGGGCGAACAGCACTGGGAGCAGTAGGTCCTGCCTACCAGGTTCATCACAGGAGGTTTTCATGTTCATTGATCCTGCGTCGTGACCAGCGGTCTTTACAATCTACTTGGCCTGTCGGAGACTCGGAATAGTGGAATGGCGACAACAAGGAAGCTATATCGCGCACTGGGTCAGGCCAGCCTGTAGTAGGCTGGGTCCGACTTGGGCCTCACGTAGTTACCTTGTACCACAAGGTCACTCTCAGCCCATTTTTCAACCCCGTGGGAATTCAGGCAAGTACTGTCGCATGCGTGCATAGATGATAGTACTACAATCTCGTTACAATTATAAGTACTAGAAAAAGGCCGAGCTTCGCCGGCAGCAACCTCATGATACAAGTGCCTAAGCTTGTAGACATTATCGACAAAGTGTCGGCCGAAGTTCACTTCAACTACCGTTAGCGTTTCAAGTAGCCCCGACAGAGAATTTCTCGTTAAAAACTCGATGGCAAACATGCCCTTGAGATCCCTCCTTACACCTTCTGTTGTTATCCCGATTGCAAACCAGCCCTCAAGAGGTATACAACGCGTATCTGCTCATACGTCATTCGTGTACACCCAGCCGTCTGACCATCGATCGTAATAAGAGTCAGCGCATCATAGGACAGCGACACATAAAACTCTGCCCCAAAGATAGGATCACCACTCCCAGAAGCAGAACAAGAATTAGAACAGAGGCAGAGACCTCCCCAGTGCATCCGGTCTCCACCCCTCAGTTTCTACGAATGCCCAGCCTGGTGCGAGCGAGAGCGTGAGGTTGTTGCTGGGGTCGCAGGGAGTTAGTAGCGATTTCGAATTGAGTGATAAACGCCAGTCCGTTAAGAAAAACACACACCTCACTTCCCCACTATGTGCCGAACGAGGAGGATAAAGAAGGGCCCGGAACCCACCTCTCGTTCTCTCACAACTCCACCTCCCGCATCTCGGCGCCCCTATGTTTGTCGTCGAGTCTATCATCGTCGAGTCTATCATCGTCGATCCAGCGGCGGAGCGTGATCTTCATGCAAATTGAAATAGCGAAGTTATAAACTATGTAGGTGGAAAATTAGTTGTATCGAAGATCGCAGTGACTGAAAGAACACACCAAAGGTGATAGCGAATCTGTGACTTGTGAAAAGCCACATTACATTAGGAAACCCGCGACCAGCTCTTGACACCGAGTTTTTGGACCGACCTGTGTGACCGACGGGCACTGAAGAATAGTCGAAGCATAAAAGACGAGCAAAGTGAAAGACGCATACCAGATAGAACAAAAGTATATATAAAAACAGGGGATAGTGTAACTGCACCGTTCGGCTTGGGGCAAACGGCCGAACCAGCCTCGCGGTGAGCACAAAGCGACAGAATTTGGTAGGGTACAGGATGCCCAGAGGGCCATGGCGAGAAATTTCCCCCAAGGACTGGCACACAGCAGTGACCTACTAAGAGAAAAAGGAGCTTAACTTGAATATACCACTAGTAAGCGTTGATGTACATTTAGTATATTACCACATTCCGTTTGTTCCCCTCAAAAATCGATAAGTACACGACACTTGTGGGACAAGGTTGCTGCCGGCGAAGCTCGGCCTTTATCTAGTGTATAACGTCGCCGAAAGTCATTACAAGTAGAACTGGGGAAGCACTTGGTGGTAAGATCACTAGTACGGATTACTTGAAGTTCAGTATGATCGGAAGGACAACCATTTTCATTATGCGGTCACGTGCACTTTGTACGCGTTTTGTCTGCGCGCTTGAGGGGTGTATGCTTTTTCACTTGCTCTGAAGTGCTTTTTAAATACCTTATCTGCGGTGTTTGTGCAAGGCCTATGACAAGGACACACCATTATTTTCAGCTTTCACTCAGGTTGGTTCAATTAACACGTTGAATATAACATTCAGGCCATCAGAATCTCGGAGATTATCCAGAAGACTGGTGTTCCCCCCCTCCACTGCCCACAGAAGCTGCGGGAATACGCACAGAAGACTTTCCCAACGTGGTTGCTACTTTAGCCAAACATCATATCGCCAGCTATCTCAGTATCACCGCTGACAATAACACTAGCACCGGGTGGATCATTGGCATTGTTGGGACATATTCAAATTGGAAGGAACTCACAACAGTTTAGCCAATTCACCCGCGCCATTGTCTTAAATATACCCTTATATTCTACAGCGCTCAAGGGCATCATCTACAAATAGCCGCAGCCTGCGCCTCAAACACAGGCACCGCTCCATGATGCATGAGCCGGGTTTCACGGTCTGCAAGCTTCGCCGCGTCTCAGTTTCTCCAATTTGTATTTTCCTCAGATGGCGCTTCTCGCGTATTGCGTCACCATCTGATCAAGTTTCGGAAATAAGGCTGTATATTGTGGAAGTAGTTCTAATTCGTATCGGCCATGGCTAGCTGAGTTCGATCATCCATCAAACATCTGTTGCGGGCGGGCCCACTGTATCTGAAACAGGGATATGACGACACTCTGGCCGCAACTATTAGTCATACAGCCCAACTGCACGGATAGAACGAAACCACATGATGACTGGTCATGCACTTGAGGCTTATCTTGGTGTCCGGCGCTATGGGTGAGTTCACTTCGGACTTCAAGCTTCAAGGGTTCAAGGGTAGTGGCGCAGACAGGCCAAGATGCCTCATCTAAGCATAGAAAACCTTGCTCTTAGATCTTCGCAAATAGCCATCATCAATCGCCAAACGGCCAATCGCCAAACGGCCAATGGCCAATTGATAACATCTTCTTCCCATGGATCTGGCCCAGAGCCAGTTCGTACCCGAGGAAACACCGCCTAGCACCTTGAAAGTGATTGTGGTGATGTCGGAACAGAGCCAAGGGCTCACCGATTTCATTCATTAATTCAGCGCTTACTCGAATGTATTTCCCAGAAATTCGCCGACGGACTACATGAGTCATGGCAAATGGGGGAGAAGTCGGCTCTTCCCGAGTGAAAATACCCTTTTTCTCCGTAGGTACAAGCTTCGAACACACGCGGAGGGCGCACTGTAACCTCGGATCAAAGTCACACATCGATAAAATTATACAGTTCGGTAGCACGAATTGGATGAACGGATCTCGACTCTTTAGCACTCACGCGCTCTGTTCCGGAACATTCAAGGACCTCATCCAGACTAGTCTATCACAGGGAACCGATTTACTTTGTCATAATTCTTGCCAAAATATTATAAAGGCCAATACAAAACCCGTTAGCTGGAGCAAAATGCCAAAAGAAGCGAATGAAAAATACATCAAACTAAACTAAACCAAGACGCAAACAGCGTTCGATGAAGATAAATACCATAAGCAAAGCAAACAGTACATGGCCCAGAATCCTATTAATACATAGTAGGTGCGGCATGTATAGCAGCTTGATCACGATAGCTCTGGGAGAAATGTCAAAGGAAGACATACGACATGTGTGAAGGACGACAGGTGAAGGCACCCTGCTCTGTAATGAGTGAAAAAGTGCTAACCAGTCGTTGAGGCGAGCGGGGTGTCTTCCTGTTTTAGATGGTATGCTGCCACAAGGGGGTTCCGCTTCCTGGGTACTGCTACATTGTGCCTGCGGCCTAATCACCATTAGGCTCCAATTGGAGCGACAATCTTCAAAGCATGATTTCGCGGATCTGGCGACAGGGTAGCCGGCATCAGCGTTCCTGCGAAAAAATTTCGCAATCGAAGAGGGGGGCTAACTCACGTTTTTGCTTATGACAGCACTGATTTTTTTGAACAATGCAAAAGAAGCCCGCAGAATCGGACAGTTACGTGATGGGCCAGTAGAGATTGGTTGCAATGGTAAGATTGTAGAGGAAAATTATAGTTGAAAATTGAATATGCAAGTTTGAGTCCCGGCGATAGCATTATGTTTTGGAGCACGATAGCGAGATGCGTTGATGATGACATGGATAAATCGTAAGATGAAGAGCAAAAAAAGAAACATCAAATTAGTGCCGCGATTTGGAGATTGGATCGAAGAACGATGCTATGAAAGGAAAGGGAAGAGTGGTGGGAAATGGATGAGCGTACGGTTGGACGACATCACTGGCGGGCGGGGGAAGGATCAATAGAAGGACGAACTTACTCTGGAAGGAAAGGAAAGAAATTAGTAACTCAATCCTAAAAATATCCGCATAGTAACTAACCTTCAACAGCGGCCATCACTACTCTCAACATTTCCGTATCCGTCGCAGTCGTTACACTTTCTAGCGTTAAGGTTGCGACTTCAGTGAATAAGAGAAAATGCGTACTGAATGTAGATTTCGCGTTCTTTAGAACGTCCAGCTTTGTGAGCGAGTCGCGTGAAACGTCGCCGGAAATAATCTCGTCCAGCTTTTGCGTCCCCTGCTTCACCCTCGTAGTCCTGAGGTAGATTGAGTAAGATGAGCCAGTCGGAGGAAAAAGACTCACCGGAAAGAAGTTTTTGATGTCAGAGTTGACGATCTTCTTTTGGAAGAGGTCATCCTTGTTAAGGAAGAGAATCTGATGCGGTAGCACGCGTGAAAGGCTTTCAAAATAACGAGGACAACCTGACGTACTATTGATGTCTGCTTGAACCATTGCGAATGGCATATTGAGTCCCATATTGTCATAGCGTCTTGCATTTGGTTCTGGAATAAGAAACCGAAGGTTCGTCTTCAAACAGACCACGAGGTGCAAAGCAACTCACCGCATCTCGATCCTCGACAAGGCATTGATCATACCCGCTTAGACTGACGAGAAATAGAATACTAGTGACATCCTGGAAACAGTGAATCCATTTCCTCCGCTCGCTCTTCTGACCACCGACGTCGACCATGAGCATTTCATGGTCTTTAAGATGGAAAGTTGTCTCAGTTATTCCAATAGTGCGAGCTCGGCACTGGACGATATCTTGTTCGGTTGGATGATATGATGGGTCAAATAATCTGTCCAGCGAGGAGAAAAAGTACGACAAGCTGTAGTTGGAGTTGTGAGGTCTGGAAGAAGCAAGGCACAAAACACGAGGCTCACTTTTCAGGAAGGGCAGCCTCGTTCCCTCTTCCATACGCCTGTTGTACCCCGCTGTCAGCCCAAAGATCCCTCAAGGGCTCGTAGTATAACATAGGAAAAGACTCCTGTTCACGGATATCCCGAGCATTCTGAATGAGTTCCATGTGTGGTAGGTTCTCCTCCGCAAGTTTGAGCTCCATATCTTCCATGGCCTCGAACACGTAATTCAGACCTGTCGTCAGGTTGTTGAACACTAGTTGACGATAGGTCTCAACTTCTCCTGGTGAGAAGGGTACCCGATGAATCAGTCGCATTTGCTACGAAAGAAGCCTCGTGAACTGACAGCAGGTGAACTGGTAGAAGTGACTTACCTTTAGAACTGTCGATTTTCCTGAGTCGCCAGACCCTAGGAGAAGAACCTAGATATCATACATGATGGTGAATAACATACGAGAACTGGGCGTCAAACGTACCTTAACCTGGGAAGCCATCCTGGCCTTGGCCTATATAATAGATATGGTCAATATCATGAGGTGCAGAATGACAAGCAAAGTGCAGCATAATTGCATTGCAGACTCACTTCCTTGAGATATTTCTCCGCTTCTCTATGCCTTCGCTTATCATCATCCGAGACATCCACCATCCCCCCTGTCGACATGCATGCACCCATGATTTCTTAGTCCGGAGCAGAAACGAATGCAGAGCTCTAGAGCTACGAATGCAACAGCGAAGTCCTATAATTGAAGAACAGATTGAATGATGGATGAGGCAGTTGAGTGGGAGTTGCGCTGATTCAGATGCTCCAGAGGAGTAAAGCAGTAACAAGTATCAACACGCTGGCAGTGCTATAGTGATTGGCGTGTTTCGGATGATTCCAGGAAGGGACAATGTCCTGCCTGCTACGAGAAAAAAAATCGAAGTACAGATCGCGGTACAGTCTGGCTGGCAGCTGGCTGAGACTGAGTGGCCTTGAAGCTCAAATGGGCGCGGACCGGGGGAAAG